ATGCTGAATGTCTTCTTTTACAATATAAAGTCTCTCGAGATCAAAAGCCCTGTTTTTATGTTATCACAATTTTAAAAAATGGTACTAACTGAAAACTACCCACACTAGTTATCTGAATTTCTGGTATTGAACTGATTGTGAAGCATGTTTTTCCAGGTGAAATGCAACCAGGACCAGAAGAAAATTGAGAAGATCTTTACTGACTACGAGTCCCTCAGTAAGGGCATTCAGGAGAAATTGTTTTATGTTAATGAGGGCATAGAGCAGCTAAGGCAGCATGGTGTGTCCACGCTTGAGAACACAGAGGTGAAGTCAGAGAGGGCATCCAAGGTGCTGGAGTTCTGTGGTCAAGGAGGTGCATGTGCCACGGCCTTGGAGGCAAACTCTAAGGCGTCTGGGATGATAGAAGGCTTCGCCCTCGGCATGGATATGTACTTCACCAAAGGAAAAGATGGAACCAAGGTGAAGAAGGGCTTTGAGTCAAAGTTGGCAAAGAAACTCCGCTCCTTGACGGTGGATCTCCAGAAAGGACTGGATGAGTCCATCAAAATCAAAGAACTGTTTGAAAAGTATTGTTAGGAGGGTATTTTTCTCCACTTGAATATCTTTTGCTTTGGGGTTGTCTTTTAATGTTAATTTTCAGCTTTTACAAAAGTTCATTGATCGATATATATATTACCTCTTTGGCAACAGGTTTGAAAACAGAACAAAACTTTTAGTGCAACTTTAGGAATTGTAACTTCAAGCAGTTTCTTTTAAATGGCATGTAGTTATTAATGCTGTATAAAACTGAGATTGTGTTAACCTCCCTTACTTTAGCTGGTTTCTCCGGTCAAGATGAGTTAACAGCTTAAGCTAGGTGTTAAACTGAATCCAATGACATCTTTTAAAAAAGACTACTAAATAAAGACTGACGCAATCCACCAGGGGGTAGTGTAGTCCTTCTTTTAAAATGTTTCAACTGATGCTGAGTACACATTTTTAAAATACATAAACTTTTGACATTCCTAGCTTGACTTTATATGTCATGAGTGGTTGTTAACTGAAAGCTTAAAATGAAATATTTTAAATGTTACTTCTCCATAAACCTACTCAGGTACCAGACCGGACTGCGTGTCATACAGACCGTATTACAGTTACAGAAATGTAGTCAAACTTTATCTCAGTGTTTATTCCAATATTCCTGCCTATGATTTTGTCCTTCAGTTTTTGACTAACTAAAGTTATGCTATAAACTTTTTTTTTTTTTACATTTGTCATTTGAATGGGTTTGGGTCCAAATTAATTTCTCCTTCAGAACCAATAGCATCCTACTGAATCCCTTGCAACAGCGTAGTTACAGCTCTCTCATAACATGAATAGTTAAAAATAGCCATGATCAGAAATGGTCTCTTTTACTTCCTGATGCCAGTGTCACATCCTTCACCTATCATGGGGGTAAAATCTCAGTGAGATTAAAACGACAACAAAAAACATAGCAAGAGACACTGGTTTTGGAGAAGCACAAACCAGACCCAGGTGTACTTTCAGATTCACTGTCCTGCAGCTTGAATCTTTCAGTACTGTCAAGTTTGATGTTTCCACCCCTATTTCAACTTTGGATGGAGGTTGTTTTATCTATGTTTGCTTTGTTGTCAGTACTTGCTTATTACACTATGACTGGCTCTAATAAGTGTATCTACAAACAACACTGAAGATTTCATTCAGATACCAATTTTGGGTTTTAGGGGGCTGCTCTAATATTTGGCTTCAACACCATCTTTATCTTCGGTTTGAAAAAAGGAACAGTGCACTTCAGTGACAATCAGCCTTTTATTTACCTCGCTGACTACTTTGACAGTCATCTAAAATAATATCTTCCCTTTACAAAACCATCCCAACCACATTAAACCTTCATGTAGGGCGAAAAAAAATAATTATGATGAAATGTATGAAGTGAGACTCCTCGCTCTGCAGTCTGCACAGTCTTGTTCAGTCCAAATAATAGTTACCAGGCTTGTTTGACCAGAGAAAGACTGCTCAAAATGACAAGGGAGTGACCCTACATGTGTTAGACATAAGAAGTAAATCATGTCCGTCTGTATGTGAATAAAATATAAAATGGGACACGTTGTGATCTAAATTAACTGTCGGCCAGTTAAAACAATAGACATCTTCGCTCCAGTACAATGAATATTATTGCAAAAATGCGATTTGGATGGGGTTTTTTTTACAAACAGTAAAACAGCTAAAGGCCCATAAAATATTCAATACTCAATGTTTACATCCCCGATTTGACCTATATTTTACGTCACAGCAGCCTGTGGATCTACTTTGTCCGTTGCAAAAGATATGATTCATCCAACCAGTTATAAACATGAGTCAGGCGGAGGGATCGCACTCACAAAAAAGGCTCGTTTGTTTAAGTTAACCAGCATAGTCGAGTGGCCACGCTTTTGTTGACGTTATAAATACTGTTGTGAAGACCTCCCACTCGCGCTGCTGGTTTCACAGTGAACAAACGCCCTCGCGCTGGGTGCGGAGTGATATACGCAGCAGTACTTCGGTCCTATATAATCCCCACGCGACGGCTCTACCTGCTCTTCGTTCCTACAGCTCCTAAAGTAAACACACTTTGCACATAGTAGCTCTAGCGGGCCAAAATGGCAGTGTAGAGGCGTGCGGCAGCTAACCTTGCAGCGGCAACAAACCGGCAGTGCAACGGCTAAGTGCACTGGCTTTTTCTGGCAAAATGGCGTAAGTAACTTTTTTTTTTATGTTTGCAGTCTTCTAAAGATAAAAGAATATAGCCGCTTCCTGTAGTAACTAACCTGTCAACTAGAGTGTGTTACTGGCTATTAAACTTGTTGATCAAGGCTATTTGTTTTTGTAAAAAAAACCCAAAAAACTTTTTAAGTGTGTTTTAATTCCTAGTTCCTTGTTTGGAGCTAAGGTGTCAAATTACAGTATACCAGCTGAAGTAGACCGAGCCGGCGCCTTACTTTGTGTTGTGAATCACGCTAACGAGCCGTCGTTTGGGCACTGGAAACATTTCAGACGTCTCATTTGAAGTTGTAATTTTTTTCCATGGCTGCGACACTGCTGTCAGTGTGATACTATAAACATTTTTAGTGTTTTGTATACGTTTCACATTGGCAACGTGGCGTCCAAAATGGCGCGCGCTGTGGGTTTTTAGCTCGTTCCCCGCCTCGCGCAGATGGCTCTGTTGTGAAAATGGCGGTTTGCCTTCCCACATCTCCGCCATGACTCATAGGCGTGGGTGGAGTTACCAGCCAATGCATGACCAAATTAGGCAAAGTTATCCCCCGGTGGAGGGCGGAGTTTCCCATCAATACAGCTTTGACGCTTAAGGGGAACGGATTAGCCAAAATTAGATACAACCCCCTCCCCCATAACGGGGATGTCAACTCCTTTAATGACCCTGGTACACACCACCAAAGAAGCCTACATTGTCTGCACAAGGGTCGTCAGTCAACAATATGCTTGTTTCAGGAAGTACACCTGCTCTGGGGAAACTTTGCATTTACAGATAAACTTGGCCCTGCCAAACATCAAATTTTCATAAAGTTTGAATATATCGTTTCACAACTTCCTGCAATAAAATGTGTCACTTCATTTTAGTTTCCATGTGAATCAACACTTACATTTGCTTATATTCCTTATTTTTCTCCCATTAACATGATTTCTGTTTTCTCCCCTCCAACCAGGTCTCTCCCGGCAACCACCTTCAGCTTTGCTGCCGTCGACAGCATACCTGGACCTCTCGACTCACCTTTGTTCTTGTACACCTTTTCACGGTTACCACTGACCAGCAGCAGCCATGACCCTCTCCCAGCTAGCCCTGGAGGACGTGGAGGCCCTGTACTTAGGTGTGTGTTGTGATGACACATATTGCCAAAGCACTAGTACAAACACTGCTGAATGTGCTGCTTTGTTTGCATAACATTTGGTAATGATAATACCATTCCCAACAATTCTAAAGCCAATAAAGTACATTTCCATATGGTCAGCATGGAATTATCTGTAGATGGGTTAGATGTTTTAGTGAGTTATTGGATGTATTGGCTGCCCAAAGTTAGAAATTGACGGGCTGATCTTTTGTTCTCAGGGCCCTCCTTTCTGATGGCTGACCCCATGGGGCCCCTTCTGGACCAAGATGAAGAAGAAGCTCTTTCTCCCTCCTCCCTAGAGGGGAAGGCGCCAGCTTCGCCCTCCCTTTCTTTGTCCACTTATCCATCCTCCTCGTCCCCTTATCATACTATGTCTTTCTCCCCGCTGTCTTTGTCCTCCCCATCTCCCTCTCCCCCTCCCACCCATTGTTCCTCATTCCTGGGAACCAAGGCCGGAGCGGACTCGCTGTCCCTCTCTTGGCTGGGTGCCGGCGACCTGCTCGACGCCCATGTTGGAGCAGATGATGGCAAAGGTGAGAGTGCCTTAAAATACATGTTTAATGAGCAAAGGGGCAAGTCCTAAATTTTAACAATTATTTTTCAAAAGGAAATAATTTGACTACTTGTTGAGCTGATTAGAAACCAAATAAAAGAAATGATGGGAGATTACTAATTGGAGTATGTTTAGGACCAAACTACATCTTCCACTCTCATTAGACTGAAGTTGGGAGTATTTCTTGTGCTGTGAGTATTTCAGAGGAGAGGCCCGCTGTCAGTTAAGTATTCGAGGTTTGCTTGCAGGCTGAGACCTGACGTTAAGACCGTGAGTGAGAAACCCGGATGTTTGTAGGGCAACAAACATTTATTGGTTTGTGAGTGGCGGGTGTGGCTCAGAGTTGTGCTGTAATGACCGGCTCAAACTGGTTTTGTTAGACGTCATTGTGAAATGACATATATAGCCCTTTGTTCTTCCTGGCATCAGTTAAAGGTGTAAAATTCCTTGTTTTATGGATTTAGTCTCACTTGAGTATTTGAAAACGTCAGAAGCATAATCGAGGGAGAGATCAAATTTACGCCTGAAGTCATGTGTTGAATACGGTTGGATCACAACGTTTCAAGAAAATTTGATGTATAAAAAATAAACACTATGTTTTGTTGATGCTTGCAGCCAGCAGCTCTCATAGTATTTTGGGATATTGTGTCTTGGGTCGATATTTTAAACAGCAGCTTTCACCGTGTAACCACATCAGTAATTTACATCCGCCCATTGTTTTTTCTGTCATATGTAGTAACGTGACTATAACCCACATAGTGTTGATATTGTCATACGGCTTTTTTATAGGTTGTAAAAATTGATCCAGTACATTTTACAACCCTGGTATTTAACAAATAAGTAGCTTTATGGAGTATTGCATGGAAATGATTCACTGTAAGAATAATGATCCAAATTTCTGAACTGTTTATTGCGAGTATTAATGAATAATATTTGCCAGCAGATGATGCTTTTGCCGGCATGGACTGGATGTCAGAGAAAATCGACCTGAGTGAATTTGACCTGGAGTCTTTCATTGGATCCTGCTCCTCTGATGAGTCTCCCAGCTCTCCTGAAGATCTCCTGGCTTCCCTGGACTCCTCCATGGATTTGGATCTAGATCCCTTTAACACAAACATCCCCGTCCCACACAGCAGCCTTGAGCTGAGTTTGCCTCTGCCCGACATTCCCAGTCCCCCTCTGGAGCTCCCTCTCCCTGTGGCAGCTGAGGCCAAGAAGATGGATGTTGCTCCTGCTCATGAAGTTAAATCTGAACCTCCCTCTCCATCTCCCCCATCTCCAGTCTACACATTGGAGCTGGGAAGCGAAGTAGATGTCCTAGATGCTGACAAGCAGACCACATCCCTCACAATCATCCCAGACCCCAGTGGAAGCGTTCAGTCGACCCCCATTGTTCTCTCCATCCCCACCTCTGGTCACTTTGTGGTGGTCCTCTCAAACAAAGAAGAGCCCTCCCTTCTATCTCTCCCCGATCAAGCTGTTAAAACCTCTCCACCAAGCGAATGCGACAGTGACTCTGGCATTGAGTCAGTCATTGGTTCTCCGGTGCGCCTTCCTTCTCCTCTTCCTACCCCACCCCCTGCAGCTGGTTCCTCTAGGACCAAACCCTACTCCAAATCTGAAGCTTCCACCTCTCCCAAGACCTCCAAGGTCAAATCAGTGTCTGGTGCTCCCAGAGGGGTGGAGAAGAAGCTCAAGAAAATGGAACAGAACAAGACAGCAGCCACACGTTATCGGCAGAAGAAAAGGGTTGAGCAGGAGGAGCTGCACCAAGAGTGCGAAGAGCTGGAGAAGAAGAACCACGAGCTGGCGGAAAAAGCAGAGTCCATCAGCCGAGAGATCCAGTACCTCAAGGACCTGATGGAAGAGGTTCGAAAGCACCGCCGTGTAAAGACCAACAAAGTGGCTTAAAAAGAAAGTAGTGAGAGAGTGGTGTTCCTGCTTCAGTGATCACATGCTTAAAGGGAATCCAAACTAGTAATTGAAGAAAATTGTAAAAGAGCTGCGCGTGAAACCTGCCACTTGGTGGAATAGAAGGAATAGCCAGATAAAAAGTCAAACTCGTATAGAAGTTGAGATTAGTAGTGTAGATTAGGGGGCTGGGAGTTTGTGAGGCGAAGCATCTGTACATGCTTGTCTCTCAGTCCCCTGTCTTATTCCTGGTACAAAAAACAGGGTGTAAGTTTGTCTTTGTAGACTAGGCATGCAAAGCACGAGTCACCGTAGCTCCTGGTATTGTTGTAGACCTGTAACTCATTGACAGAGATCCCCTTGCTCCATCACCACTTCATCACCAGACGTCCAATGGGCTTAAATACATTTATTCAGTAAAATTAAACACCACTTCTACCCCGTTCCTACTACCTTCTAACCCCATGCAACCCTATTATGACCTTCTTCTTAACATCTTGACTTCCAGTAAGGGGCCTCAGCCTACTTATGAATCCGTGATATTACACTCGACTCACTTTTATGTATATAGTTTCTCCTCATTTGCTTGCAGATTGTGGGTATTTTTCCCCCTTTTTTTTAATTATTATTTAATGCTGGATAAAATATTAGCACATCTTTGGTAGCTCTGTCTCCTAGCACTGGTGTTTGGCTTGTAAAAAATGCTTTGCTGGTCTTTTTTTTCTATTAAATATCTATCAGTACTCCAGTGATAATCTGTGTCTTTTCTTTTTTTTTTTTGAGTACATTTGATAGTTAAGTCTGTCAGGCTTTTCTGGAAAAATGATACGACAGACTGTAAAACACACATTGGGTAGATTAAAAATGAGATTTTTAAGATGAACCAGTTTCAGTGACAAAAATAAAATCTTAACACAGATCCTTTGGTGATATATTTATGTTTATAAAAATGCTGAGTCATTTGCAGAAGGCAATGAGACAAAAAATGAGTCATGTAAGGATCAATTACTAAGCCAGAGACTAGGACTTGAACTTATAACTCAAGGCTATGAAAGTGAATGTTATTAATAAAAATGGTGCCTTGTATTGGGAAAAGTTGTGCACAAATGTATATTTTGAAATTTTCCTTTCCGGTTACATTTGTACCTTACCTGGTTTGTATTGCCTTGTCACAGACCAGATCTGCTAATGCCTCAAACCTTTGGAATGAAAACAAATCTCTTTCCACAGAGCTGCGTTACAGTAGTATTTACATATTCTCTGTGTTAGTCAAAGTTCCTCTTAATGTTATTGTGTTGAAGAAGTCTGTCTGGTTTACTACTCAGTAGGAATATGTGAAGAAGAGTGAGGGCAACACATTTTATCAGTTGAAGGCCTCGATGCACCGTGTTCAACATAAACCCCATGTTTAAGCAGAAGTAAAAATTGCTTTATACAAAGAGTGAGTGTGTGTGCAACTTCCCCTTGACTTAACCCGCTAAATAAGTTAAATCACAAAAACTGAAACTT